GGGCTTGCCCTGCTCCGGCACTCCAGCCAGGGAGCGGGGTCAGGGGCTTGCCCCACTCCACGCATACCATGGCTCCACATGGCTCCCGGAAGCAGCGGCTCCTACATGTAGGCACAGCCAGGGGGCTCCACGCACTGCCCCCACCTCAAGCACCGTCCCCGCAGCTCCCATTGGCCGGGCCACGGCCAGTGGGAACTGCAACGGTGGCGCCTGCATATGGGGCAGCATGCAGAGTTGCGCCTCCACATAGGAGCTGAAGGGGGGACTCCAACCCTCTTCCACACACCACCCCCCTGCCCCAGCCCTAATCCCCCTCCCACTCTCCTAACCCCTTGGTCCTAGCCCCGAGCACCCTCCTGCACCCCCAGCCCCACCCCAGAGCCCCCACCCCAAGCCAGAGCCCTCACACACCCCCACATCCCAACCCCCTGTCCCAGCCCAGAGCCCCCTCCCGCACCCTGAACTCCTCATTTCGGGCCCCACCCGAGAGCCCGCACCCCCTCCCACACCCCAACCCCAATTTCATGAGCATTCATGGCCCGCCATACAATTTCCATACCCAGATGTGGCCCTCGGGCCAAAAAGTTTGCCCACCCCTGTCCTAAAGTGTACCAAGAACAGAGTCCTTCCCCAGCTAGCCAAGATCCCCCAGTCCCACCCACCCCCTGCCCGACCAGATATCTATCTCTTTCTCCAGCCTCCTGCGAACACCCTCAGAGGGCACCATGGCCAATCACGTGGCTCGTAATCCCAGCTCAGTGGCATCCTGTGGCCACTTCTGTCTCTTCACCCCCTATTAAAGAGCTTGCAAAAGTCTTCGTCTATTCCACCCAGCCTCCCTCTGCCTGTCCCTTGGAAGTGGAGCTGGCTGGCTAGCTGTCCTGGCAAGAGTCCATCCCCTGGGTCCATGGGACAGCAATGCTGCTGGTGTTGTCAGATCTCATCGGGGGTGGCAAGGGGGTGTTGTGCTGTGGGTAACCCATCCCTGGGCAGCCCCAGGAGGACCAAATAGCAGGGGGCAGGACCGGGGCAACCTCTGGGCTAGGTCGGGCTGACACAAGTCAGCTGTAACGCCTCACTTCAGGCAGGGGAGGAGTGGGTGAGTGGCTCTATCTACTCTGCCCCCGTCCTCCAACCCTTGACAGCCGATCGGACACCAGCCCCGTTCTCTGCTCCCGGGGGAGCGCAGCCGGCCCCCGGCAAAGCCTGGCCCGCCAGGGGATAACTCCAGCGCCTTTCCAAGCGCGCAGCCCGGAGGCTGGGGAGGCGCGGAGCAAAGCTGGGGGCTGCGAAGGGAAGCTCCGGGCGCGGCTGGAGCCAGGGGTCGCGAGGAACCGCGGGCTGAAGGCAGCGCCCGGGGCACCTGCCAGCCCCGTCCCGCAGTGGCACAGCTGGGGACCGGAGCCAGGCGTCCTGCCCGGCTCTCCCCGCCAGTCCCCAGCACAGACCACGTGCTCGGACCGCCCCGCGCTCTTACCTGCAGC